CAGGAGACTGAGGTGGGAGGATCACTTGAGCCCAGGATGTTGAGGCTGCAGTGAGCCCTGATCATGCCATTCCAGCCTTGGTAACAGAGCAAGACAAAAAAAAAAAAAAAAAAAAAATTAAAAAAGAGGTCTGGAATGACATACACAAACATACTACGGTAGTTACTTGTGTGCAGTAAGGAGCAGATCAGGACTGGGAGGAGAGAGAGGAACAAAAAAGACTTTAGTTTTATATGAAAAATTATTATTTTCAGAAAGGGAACTTGATTCAACAATTATCTGTGTAATTAAAAATTAAAATATAAAACGTGGCCTGGTGCGGTGGCTCGTGCCTGTAGTCCTAGCACTTTGGGAGGCCGAGGCAGCAGGATTACTTGAGTCCAGGAGTTTGAGACCAGCCTGGGCAACACAGTGAGACCCCGTCTCTAGAAATAATAAAAAATTAGCTGGGTGTGATGGTGCACGCCTGCGGTCCCAGCTACTCGGGAGACAGGAGAATTGTTTGAGCCCAGTAAGTTGAGGCTGCAGTGAGCCGAGATCACACCACAGCACTCGGCTTGGGCAGCAGAGTGAGACCCTATCTCCAAAAAGATAAAATGTAAAATGTACCAACTTAATAATGGAAGGAGCATATTTAGAGCCCATGCTCTCAACCCCCTGCCCAGGGGGCACGTGACAGGTGTCTTTCTTCTGATTGGGCGCATGGAGCACATGGGGCCATCCCGACTCTGTTGGGCCTTTTGGAGACCATGACCAACCTGGCATCCTTCAAACCTGGCACCCTTCAAACCATCCCTGGCCTACTATGCAAAGCAGACACAGGCCCGTGGGCAGAGGGCGCTTGAGGATGGGTTGTGACGTAAGACACCTGGGACCACAGATAACATGCTACACTTGGTGCCCTCCAATCCAGGATACTGATCTTGGGCTTAGAGAGTAATCCTGGCCGGGCGCGGTGACTCACGCCTGTAATCCCAGCACTTTGGGAGGCCGAGGCGGGCGGATCACAAGGTCAGGA